GTCAAAAAGTCTCTCTCTCTCTCTCACACGGACTCGAGTCGATCATGCCGCGAAGAAGCAAGTCGTCATGTCGTTATTCGACACAACGAAACCACCACAGGCCTAAAGACACTGCACACGAAAGACCCATGAAGGCGGAACTTTGCCTCCTCCTTCCTATCTTTCTAACAAGAAAACTGCCAGCTGTAGCATGCACTTTGGAAATGCGAAATGAATAAGCACGGCAATTATGCCCGATGCTTTGGAAGTGCAAATATTACAAACAAATGGACAAAATGCAGACGGCGAGACAGAGAGAGGTGGAGGACAGATGAATCGTCTACCATCACGACATTTTCCTACACGCTATGCACACCCCCGTAATGCAGAAGATGCTTGACAACTTGGGGAAGGTCTGTTTTGATGAAACAAGGCTACAACGCAGACTACGATGACGCCCCATCCAAATATCACGATACGGTAGTGAAGCTCCATTCCCTCAGCATGCGGTACAGTCTAGCATTTCTGTGTTTGTTGATAGTTCTTGTCGAAATCAATGTCAGATACCTTACTGAGACTCTTTACCTTGACGTACGAGCCCTTACTTTTTCTGAAGAGCAGGTGCAGATTCTGTAGACAGCTAGGCAGATGGACAGAGACGACCAATGACAAACATTGAAATCGGTGTAAACCTAGCAAGAACGAAAAAAGAACACTCAAACGGATCAAGTCATGTCCCTGCCTGCCCTTCGGTCAGAATGTAGAAGGCATCTCCCTTCTCGCCTCCGTCTCCAGGAGTCCACACGAATACCACGTGCAGGATTAGGCTTTTGCAAAGCCTGAAAGTGCTGACAAGATAGCACATGCCAAGACACCTTGTTCGAAGACCATCTCATCTTTGGAGAAGGACATCTCCTTCCGAAATGCACGGCCCGCACCGCGAAATTTGGAATGTCTGACGAGTGAGCTGTGCCCCCAACAGTCAAGGACTTCGCCAAAGCCTTTCCACGGCAGCGAGCTGTAACACTGCAACGAGGAATCCAACATAGCCGCATATAGCCGCGCACTGAGACCCAAACTTCTTTCTCTTCAGGTTTCAAAAGACCCTTGAGAAGATCCACCTAAGCTTGTAGTGAATCATGCCACGGATATGATAAGGCCTGAGCCGTATCCAGTACGTCTAGCATGCCAGGCCTTGTCCAACAATGCGACATACTCCTGTCACGGTTAATTCTGCTTGCAGCCACCCCTTCGCCTCAAGCAACAGTTTGAGACCGGTCCGTCCTGACACTTGTCGCCTCGAGCAGCCAGAACAGCCTTGAAATCGGTCCTGGTGTTGAATTGGTGCCAAAATGCCCAACTCCAGCGCAAGCTTTCAAACTTGATCTCGGCCGACAGACCAACCCGTCAAAGAAAATCAATCGACATGCGCTAAACCCCCAGCAAAACAAGTTCAACTACAGACACTCTTCATCACTCCGTCGGCAAACGAAGATGGTAACCGGCGATGTTTGCCGTGAGCGGTCTGTGAATGATAACCGCAGGGTAGCGCACTCGAATGCCATCGACACCCGGGCACTCAGCACAGAGTGGGCTTTGGAAAAAAATAAAACCGTTTTGCTACCTGCAGGCTGCCTACACCGGTGTTTATACCGTTCACGAAGATGCGCAGACCAGATACTCTCTTCAGAGAGCATCCAAGTGAGGAGTGTGACTGGGACAAAGCTTGGCGCAAATTTTGACCATGTGCTTCCTGAAATCACCCTGTGGCCAGCCGCTTGTACAGGAAATTGTCTGAAAAAGAAACCACCCGTGGTAACGCCTCATATGTGCTCTTAAAGAATTGTTCCGAATTTGGCCGTGCTGCAGGTATGAATCATTCGGAATGCCACTATGCCACACGTACTAGCGTGCCGTGCAAGATAAGCCAAGCTGCCTATCAATGACCCAGAGTTCGGAATCGACCACGGCCTTCACATTCACATGGCGTGAGCCAACACGCAACAACAACAACAACAACAACAGCAGCAGCAGCAGCAGCAATGCACACTCCACACTGCCTTGACCGTCGCAGCACGTGGCGCAGTGTAAATTAGTGCCAGCCTCAGGGATGCACAAGGCAGAGAACATCGAACTCTAGCGAGGTCGTTGTGGTAAGGACGCAACTCGCCGAAGCTATTCCCAGGCTTGAGCTGACCAACGCCTGCGGAACACCGAACCTCTGATTGTGGCAAGCACACTATAGTTGAGCCACCGACGGTGCTCTCTCCTTAGGCGACAGTTGAAACGGAGGAGGCATGCGGGCTTTTGCCGGCCTCCTGCTCGCCGTTACAGCATTTCTGCTAGAGGCTGGGCAGCCAGCTGGATGACGTCGAACTTTCCTGACCTGAATTCCGGGATTCCACATGTTTCGACTTGTGCCTGCGCAAGGATGTGTCACGGGTTGATCTGGGAGCCGAGGCTTGACCATGTAGAAGAATGAGGCATTCAGATCACCTTCAGTGATCACGTCGGTGCCAGCCTTCACCTCTTCCTGCGAGAGAGAGGAAGACGCGCGGACAGAACTCCAGAACGGGCCGCCTTCCAAGCGGTGTCGATAAGTCTCTCTGTGCTCGATTCGTCTAGCGACACCTTAGCCCCGCCCCCAACACCAGCGAGGCCATACGAGACAAGCTGAGCACAGAAGTGCAAGTGCATCATGGAAAAGCATGCCCTCAGGGCAGCTACAAGACCCTGGAGATTCGTGTTCTCCTTCAAGGCCTGTCCATGAGGGACAAGTAAGCTCGAAGAGAGCCCTTCAAAAATGCATGCCGTTGCTGCCTTTGCCATGATCCGACGTTCTTCCTGGGTCTTCGGGCTTGGTGGCTTCGCCTTGCACGAAGCACAGCACAAGCTACAGACTGGACGCAAAAAACGTCCCTCAATGCACTGCCGAGTGATGATATCTCGGTACACAAGGTTGCATCTTCAGCTGGCGGCCTCTGACTCGAGAAATCCACCGCCGACGGCCTTCAGATAGAAAGTAACACGAAAGCAGGTGCACAAGTTGCACAAGCACGGATGTACACTCCCGGGTCACGGCTTCGATTGTGTCCAATCATACCCGAATGAATGCCCTGAACATGCCCGTTCACAGATATCACTCACCGACAAACTAAGCTTCGCACATTTCTCTGTTTGAACACCAACTTCTCACGCAAGCCCAACTCTTCGAACTTGCTGCGCCGGACGATGATGGTTGACAGCGGCTGCTTCCTTTGACAGGCACATGGACACAATGTCAGAACGTCCATTTGGATTCCGTGCCTGTGACCGCGAAATAGACCGTATCGACAACACCCACACGCGCACACACACACACACTTTTCGGAATAATTCCACTGCAACGGGGGAGGGAGGGAGGGAGGGAGG